ATATACGGCGATACAATTGGGTTGTTCGGAAAGTAATTTCGTTTTTTCTCAACAGAGGACTTATTGTATTTTTTCACACTTAAGCCGCATAATCATTATATATTTTGACAGCTGATATAGCAAGGCTTGCTTGTGAAAAAAGTTCGATTGATTCTACGCAGTAGTTTTTGGTTGGTGCCCTATCAAATATGGAAAGTGAAAAGCAGCATTTTCGGCATATTTTACTTTTTTACTATCGAAAAGATAAAAATGCTGTTCAGCAAGAAAAAAATTATCCGATGTGTATGGAGAAGATGTATTGACAGAACGCCAGTGGCAAAACTGGTTTGCAAAATTTCGATCCGGCAATTTTGATGTTGAAGATGCACCACGTTCTGGAAGGCCAGTTGAAGCTGATGAAGACACAATAAAGGCATTAATTGATGCAAACCGGCGAATAACAACTCGTGAGATCGCTGAGAGATTAAATTTATCGAATTCGACCGTTCATGATCATTTGAAACGCGTCTGATTGAAAATCGTCTTTCATTTTCATAAGAAAACACGAAATTACTTTCCGAACAACCTAATATTTTACATATTATCCAATTGTAAGTCGAAAAACGCTAAAATATCATCCGTCGATATAACCTTGCTTTCGCCCTTCAATCACCAGAGCCTCGAAATTAGAGTAAAGTTATCGGAGAATATCCAAAGTTATAGGTGAACGATCGAGGATAGGAGAGGGGCGATGTAGATGGGTATCGGATGGATCATCTTTATCTCAGCCGATTGCATTGTTAGCATGAAGCGTATTGTTTGAACGTCATATTGGCACGAGGCCTCGGGCAACCAATCAGCGTTTGCGGTAGCCGTGCCTTATCAAAGATTTCCACCACCTAGCCGCAGGGCTTAAATCAACCTATCCTCCGACGATCCTTTCTCCAGTTTGCAGAACTCTGTCGCGAGAGGAGAGCAGCAAACTAGTACCAGGAATAAGAGATCAACCCTAATTGCCAGACTTTGGACAAGAACTCGCGCGAATGACCGCGCGAGACGTATCGCCGTTGAAAATCTCTCGACACACCGGACAATCGGTTTCAATCGAATCACGTTCGATTCGCGAAACTAGGAAAAATTCGGAGTAGCGATTCGCAAATAACACGCATAATTATTGCCGCGTTCGAAGACCGTGCGAGCTCACGACAATTTATGACAATTTAATTATCCGCGCGCGCGATACACACACGTGTGACATTAATTAATATTCATCGATAATGGAATATTAGACAACACGTCTGTCGTGATATAACCGTGTGTTGCTCGTCAAGCAATAATAAGCAACAGTAATTACTCGTTAATTGGATGACACCACGTTTTAATAACCATTCTGCGATATGGAAACGCGCCGACAAGTCGATGACAGGTCGGTGTGCGAAAATCCTTGGGACATTCATAAACGACGATTGTGCGGAAATATCATCATTCTGGCCGTTGTTAGAAAAATGAAAAGAACGAATAACTTGGGCAAGACGAGACTACGATGTATCGCAGTACTTTCACATACGTCATCCGTACATACTGCACAGTTGGATTTATACATTCACTTTACGATCTCTCCCTCCCTCCCTCCCTCCTGTCGAGAGCGACTCGGCGACTTTAACGAAAATCTCTCGCATAAGGTCGTCTTTAATGTCATATCCGGTGGTGGTCTCTCCTCGTCAACGAGCGTTCGGTAAATTGATGACGTAGTTACGGGGGAGGGGGGGGGGGTCCTCTCTGCTTGCTCGCGAGCTTACCTGTCTTATGG